ATATATATATATATATATATATATATATATATATATATATATATAAAGGCTTTATAAACCCTTCCCACACTCTTGCAATGTTCTAAACTCTAAACTCTTAAACCCACATAATTTTAAAAATATACGTATATGTACTGTACAGTGCTGCAAAATTTTATATGGGTACTCACCAGTGAAAATATTACAACTTGAAGGATGAGTTCAGCTTCAGGATTATTTGCGACTTTCCTGCCAGTTCTATGAGCTTAATAAATAGTTTGTTACTTCTGACTTTGCATTGCAAAATTATTTGTACCACATCAGTTTCTCCACTAGTGTTTGCTGCGTCCATTGCTGTTCTTTGAATTTCGGCAGAAAGCAGCAGCTGGAAGCACTGTTGGCTTCTAATAACAATAAGTGCAATGTGTCGTCATCACTGTATGTTCCCATGCAAAGGCAAAATTGGTTCTCTGCATTTAACCTATCACACCTGAGATACACCCAGGTGGAGCAGTGGGCAGCTATGTAAGCGCCCGGGGAGCAATCAGGGATTAGGTGTCTTGGTCAGAGACACCGTGACATGTGGGAATGGCTGGGGATCGAACCTGGGACTTTCGGGTCCTGCCTCTACCCCATCTCGTCCAGATGACCTGACTGAATTTTGTTGGATTTTTTTTTTTTTTACTTTAGTGTAGTTCTTTTGACTTGTGTTACAGTATAGGCTAACTGAAACAAAACTACAAAATGGCAGCGCGTTAACTTTTTATCCCATCATCACGTGAGTAATATAAAAGTTGACAATCGTGTGGTGTACAATCTTATGCTGAAAACCTGCGAAAGAGTGAGTCAGCGAATGTGGAACCGCAACATATGGAGCGACTACAGAACTTGGTTATTCTGACAGAAATGTTATGAGTTTTAGTCCAGAGGTGTCCCAAACTGCACGTGCAGGCTAGCTGCTGTTGTCACTATTTTGGATTTCAAATAACCACCACATTCCATGTAAATAACTGCGATGCAAAATTGATGATGATGAGTGGATTAATAAAAAAATGTTTGAATGTCTCACTATTGAAAAAGTGTGACTGGGGTTATTTTAAGACAGCAGCAATCCATGCTGGTCCTCACTCAGCTCAGATGTGCTGATCAGTCCTGTCAGAGTCTGTCTTCAACAGGTAATACAGTAGTCCCTCGTTTATCACGGGGGATCGTTACCCGGAAGCCCTGTGATAAACGAACCGTGAAGTAGCGAGGGACTACTGTATATTAAATGTTCACAGTCTTTCCATATTCCCCACTTTAAAAATCTGAACTTTCATATCAATGTAAGCAATTGAATTTAGACTTGAAAAAGAAAACAAGTTCATCTAATTGGCATCATGTAGTCACAATGTTAAGTGTTGTGTCAAACTGCAGCATTCAGTAAAAATAGGCATCAGTATTTAAAAATGGAAGCAAACTGTTTCGGTGCATCAGTTGGAGTTAACAGATTTTCTCTTTCACACTCATGACACAAGATCCTGCCTCAAGTTGTTTGAGATAAAAGAGGTCTTTGTCATGACAGAAGACAACACAACATATCTGTCTGACACTATCACTCTTTCACACTTAATTTCCTTCCTCCCACTACTCTCTTTTCCCTTGATTTCTCTCCCAACAACAGGCTGAAACCCCTAAAGGCAACAAGGTTAATTAAAAAGCAGCACAGTAATTCTAAAATTAAGTTTTGTCGTTCCTCATGTCACACCCCTCCCACTCTCTGCCACTACACTTGTGAGGAAATGCTCATGCTGGAGGTTTACTTTCTCTAAGGCAATGTGTCTTTCCAAAGTGCCTTTGACTTGTTTCTTTTTTTTTTTTTTTTGCTGGTAACATTTCTTCAATCATGACACCTCCGATTTTGTCAGCGATGCGCTGCAGTGTGAGGGAAGCATCGCACGAAAGAAGCAGTGAGCTCACAGTGACACATATGTGCACAATCCGAGACACATTCATCCAGCACGTGCTCATGATTACTTTCATCTTCACACTTAGTTTTTCCTTAACTTTTCCTGCACACAAGCACACACTCCTGTTTCACACATGCTTCACGCCGCACAATACTGCTCACAGCTTGAGGAGGTGTTGATGGATTAGACATCTGCAGTTGGCTGACAAGGAGAAAAAATGAGGGAGAGCTGTACGATGAAGAAAAGAAGAAAAGGAGGGGGAAACTCGGCACACTCGGGAAAGGTTTAGTGAGGCAGCATGCAGGAAGGAAGCAGCAGAAAAATAACCAGGCAGCGAAAAGGGAGAGAGCTGCAGGGGGGAAGAAGGAGATGGAGGTGCTGAGCAGATAGGCTGAGGAGGAATATGTGTGAAAGAGAAGAGAGATTTGGGGAAAGCCAGTTGTTCCCAATCCTGTTCTCTCACATGCAAGATTTCCATGTTGTTGCTTAAGGATGTGACTGCACATGCACTGTAAATGTGCCTGCCTTTAACCCTGTTTGATGACTTTTGTCTGCTTGTCGGAGGTAATGAAAGTACTCAGAGGAAAAGCTGCTTCAGTCAGCAGCTGTAGTAATGGGATTTATGCAATTTCACTGCTGCAAAATGGGTGTACATGTGAAGATGTTGTGGAAGTTCTCCGGTAGCACAGAATAATCACTTCCTGCCAAGTGGTGACTCCCACATATTGAGTCATTTCAGAAATTGTGAACCACTGCTATAAAGTGGATTTGATGGGCTAATGAAAAGAAAATGATTTAAAAAAATTACCTTTTTCTTAGTTTTCGTTGTATTTTCTCCTCAGAATAATGCGTAGTCTGAGTGAAGTATGTTTTTTTGTTTTAATTGTGAATTGTGTTTTCAAAGTGAAACCACCTGCGGTTCCTCCTCAGGGGAAACTTTTCTGCACTTCCTCCAGCAAACAACTGACTGAAGCACATAGTGTTATCTCTCTGGGGTTCTAAGCAGCCAAATCTTTTCCTAACAATCGTAATCCCCACGGCCAAAAAGAAAAATACAGTCTCATTTTCCTCCCTGTGGAGGCAATGATTCATATCCCTTCCCATTCACAACACACATGCAAAACCGATAATCCGTTTTTCATTTTAACCTCCTACAACTTAAATGTGTGATAAGTGCTCAATTTGTGTTTACAAGCTCCGGCGCTTGTTTTTTTTTTTGCTCTGCAGGTGTCATATGCACGACCCAGCTCAGCCTCCATCCGTGATGCTAACTTGTATGTCAGCGGCCTGCCCAAGACGATGACCCAGAAGGAGCTGGAGCAGCTCTTCTCCCAGTACGGACGCATCATCACCTCCCGCATCCTTGTCGACCAGGTCACAGGTATCCATGGGACAGCACCTACTTTATCCTGATTTAGTCACATAATGCATCATCCATGTGAGAATAGCATCTTATTTAGCAAAAAGTTTTAGTCTTGAAATGTCTTCTTGTCACATTGTTAACATTTCTTACTGTTTATCATGGTTGATATTGACACCAGTTAGAGAAGAAATAAAAGAAAAAAATTGGACTGATAATAATAAAAACAAATTTAGAAATAAATTACATCTGACTGCAGACTTTAGGCGTCAAGTTCTAGTTGTTCAATTCAGACTGTGCTAGTAATGTATATCTTCTATGTTTTTAGAAAGCTCAGCTGTCTTGGAATGGCCACTGTTTTTAGAGTATTGCAACAATTGATGTCACTAACAAATTGTGCAAGAACATTTCCATAAAAACCCAACATTTAAAAACAGATGAAGTATAAAAACACTTTATTGCACCTTCAGCATATCTGCACCTGAAAGAAATACACTGTACAAGCCTTTTATCTTTTAACTTTACATTTTCTTATGTGTATATCAGTTTTTGCTAAAACTGTTCTCACGTTTTGAACTTCTGTACAAATAAATGTAATTTTATCCGTTAACATTTAGAAATGAACAGATGAGTGAAGTTGTAGTTATGAAATATATGTATATTGAAATTACTCAGCTGGGATAGGGAAGTTTGTTTGAATGAGTACACTACTGTTAATTAAATGAAAAGTTTCCTTCTAAATATATTTTTTCCACTTTCCACTTCTATTTTCCCATGAGGTTTGGTTTGGTTGAGCTCCCAGATTTTGTAAATATTGACTGTAGGTGCCTGTCTTCTCTGAAATTTAATGAAACGTATAACCATTCAGCTTGTGGTGCTCAAAGCACCAAAGAAATACTGCACATTTTTAAAACAAAAATCATTAATTGCTTACTCTTAAAACCTTACCGTATCCAGTTTGATGCAAAAACAATTTATTTTCATCACATTGAAACACTGAGCTGTAACATTGAACATAGTCATGTTCTCAGCTCAGATGTGTCTTTATTCACAGCATATGTTTTAGATAAAAACAAACCAATATCGTATCAGCATTAAAAATGACATTTATAAACTACGACATTTGGGCATTTGGTTATCTGAGCTTTCAGTTCTCTGTCACGTCCTTTTAATAATGTTTGGCTGTCATTACTTGAGGACTGATAAATGCAGGGAAGCGTTGGATCATTGATGCAAACTTTGGCACTTGATAAAGTCAAGGCATTGCCTGGGATGCTCAACTCCTCTACAGATGGAATTATGAAGTCTCTTCCCTGGCAACAAAGCCACTTTGCTTCAGATGCTATTTGCTGGCATTTTTGGCAAAAATGACTCATAGCTCCTGTTTGGTCCAGGTCTGGATGAAGTTGCAGCAGTGAAGTATACTATCAGCTTTTGGTGTACTCTGATATGACCTGTCACAGGTTTTATATTTTGAAACCAGTTTAACTTTATTGTTCCTTTTTGAACTGCAGCTTGAGATTGAGTGTCTTCCTTCTAGCCCAACTACTGTATTTTAGTTTAGAAACAAGACTGCCTCTTATAATATAGCAAACAAGATTCTACCCTTCTTGTTTACATCCAATCATGTGGCCATGATCCGTATTGTTTATGAGTTTCTTGTGCAGTAATGTGGTCAAAGGTTTTAAAGACAAAGAAGAGATATATGGATTCAGTTAGAGAGGACATGGAGGTAGTTGGAGTAAGGACAGAGGATGCAGAGGACAGAGATGGAGGAGGATGACTTACTGTGGCAATCCCTGAACAGGGAAAACCTGAAAGAAGAAGAAGAAAAGACTAGATAGATTAGTCACAAGAAAAAAGAAAGAAAAAAGCATTGATGTTAATTTTTATTTCTGTTTCTATAAAGATTTTTAATACCGCCAGCTAAGTACCATCCATCCATTCAGTCATGTACTAAAATAAAACTTTTCTATGGTGAATTTTTCTAAGTTGTAGCATTTCACAGCACAAGAAGAAATATTCTGTCATGTTTAGTAGGTGGATCAGATCCAGCATGCAGACCGAATCTAAGAGCTCAAATAAACTCAACTTTATTATAATAAAACTGTAAGGCTGATGTAGCAGCTTCTAACAGAAAACTCAGAAGGAAACCTTCTTCTTTTGGCGTTTCCCTCATCAGGGGTTGCATTAGTGAGTCATTCTCTGTCTTACTCTGTCCTCTGCATTCTCTGTCCTCACTCCAACTACCTCCATGTCCTCTCTATCCGCACCCATATATCTTCTCTTTGTCTTTGTCCTGGCAGCTGCATTTCTAACATCCTTCTACCAATATATTCACTGTCCGTCCTCTGGACATGTCCAAACCATCTCAATCTGGCCTCTCTAACTTTATCTCTCAGTTGTTCAACCTGTGCTGTACCTCTGATGATCTCATTCTTAATCTTATCCATCCTTGCCACTCCTAAGGAGAACTCAACATCTTAATTTCTGCCACTTCCAGTTTTTTCTCCTGTCTTTTTGTCAGTGCCACTGTCTCCAGACTATACAATATAGCTGGTCTCACCACTGTCTTGTAAACTTTTTATATGACCATTGCCACCACCCTTTTGTTGCAACTCATTCCTGAATTCCTTTTCTCCATCCACTCCATCCTGTCTGGATTCTCTTTTTCATCTCTTTACTACACTCCCCATTTTCCTAGACAGTAGACCCCTAGTACTTGAAATCCTGCACCTTTGTGACCTCTGCTCCTTGTAGCCTCACTGTTCCACCAGCCTACCTCTCATTTACACACATGTACTCTGTCTTACTACAGCTGATTTTCATTCCTCTACTTTCAAGTGCATACATCCACCTCTTTAAGTTCTCTTCCACCTGTTCTCTGCTCTCACTACAGATCACAATGTCATCTGTAAGCATCATAGTCCACGGGGATTCCTGCCTGACCTCATCTGTTAGTCGGTCCATCACCAGAGCAAACAAAAAGGGGCTCAGAGCCAGTCCTTGATACAATCCCACCTCCACCTTGAAGCTATCTGTCACTCCTACAGCACATCTCACCACTGTCCTGCTGTCCTCATACATGTCCTGTACCAGTCTAAAATACTTCTCTGCCACTCCAGATTTCCTCATGCAATACCACACTTCCTTCTTCAGCACCCTGTCACATGCTTTTTCTAAATCCACAAAGACACAATGAAGTTCTTTCTGACCCTCTCTGTACTTCTCCATCAGCATCCTCAAAGCAAAGATGACATCTGTGGTGCTCTTTCTTAGCATGAAACAATACGACTGCTCACAAATTGTCACCTCTTGTCTAAGTCTAGCTTCCACAACTCTCTCCTAGCTCTTTATTGTGTGGCTCATCAGCTTCATTATCCTATGGTTGCTACAACTCTGTACATCACCTTTGTTTTTAAAAATGGTCACAAGCAAACTTCTCCTCCATACCTCTCACCCTCAAATATGCCTTTGAATATTTGAGTCAAAAACCTCACTGCCAACTCTACTAAACATTTCCAAACCTCCACTGGTATGTCATCAGGTCCTACTGCCTTCCCGTTCTTCATTCTTTTCAGAAATTTCTGGACTTCACCCTCACTAATTTTTCCTGAACCACAGTTTCTATGACCTCTACTCTTCTTTCTCTTTCATTCTCTTCATTCATTAGCTCCTCAAAATACTCCTTCCATCTTCCATCACACTCTCCTCACTTGTTAGAACATTACCATTCCAATCTTTAACAAGCCTAACCTGCTTCACCTCTTTTCCAGCCTGATCCCTCTGTCTCACCAATTGATTCAAGTCCTTCGTGCCCACTTTAGTGTCCAGACTCCCATTTAACTCATCATGCAGCTTTGCCTTTGCTACCTCCCTCTTTGCTCTGTGTAGCACCTGCTTCTTCATTCATTCAGCCTTTATTTATACAAGTTGCTTTCAATGAGCCTCGAGGACTCATGTACAAGAGAGACCTGTTTTCACAAAGAATTATGTTTTTTTTAAGCCCTCTCACTGTCATATTTCTTCTTGGCTAACCTCTTTATTTTAATAGCTTCCTGCACTTCACTATTCTGCCACCAGGTTTCCTTGTCATCTATTCTCTGTCCAGATGTCACACCAAGTACCTTCCTACCTGTCTCTCTAATTACTGTTGCTGTAGTATCCCAGTCATTTGGAAGCTCTTTCTTCCAACCCAGAGCCTTCAACAGCTCCTTTCGGAATTTCTCACAACATTCTTCTTTTTTCAGCTTCCACCATTTGTTCTTCTTCTCTGATTTTTCTATTTTTCTCTTTTTCACAACAGTCATTCTACACACAACCATTCAGTGCTGTCTGGCCATGTTCTCCCCTGTCACAACCTTACAGTCTGCAATCTCCCTCAGGTTTCTTCTTCTACACAGAATGTAGTCGATCTGCGTACTCCTTCCTCCACGATTATAGGTCACTCTATGTTCCTCTCTCTTGGAAATAAGTGTTGACTACAGCCATTTTCCTTCTTTTGGCAAAATCTACCATCATCTGTCACTTCCTGGTTTCTTTCCTTGATATCAAACCTACCCATCACTTCCTCATCCCCTCTGTTTCCTTCACCAACATGTCTATTCAGGTCTGCTCCGCTCACCACTCTCTCCTCCCTGGTAAAACTCTCTATCACTTTGTTGAACTGAGGTAACACATATATAAATAAGGATCAGGTAAAAACTTTAGAACTCAAAATAAAATCCCAACATACAGAAAAACAGAAATAAAACAATGACTAAATCACAACGATGCCTCTAAAAGTGATCAAAATACACAAACTCTAACAAATAAAACCACTGGGAATTAACTTCTGTTGAGCAGGTGATTTGATAATGGTGTGTTAAATTATGTCAATGTGGGGGAAAACATTGATTTTATTTTTACAACTCTAGTGCCCTTCAAAAAGTCTAGTAAGTCATTGAGTGACCTCAACAAGCAGTTTATGTCCTTGGTAAAACAATGGTTTTATTGAGGCACAAACTGGAAAATGTACTAGG